TTTTTTTTTTTTTTTTAAATGTTAGACTAATATTTATATTATTATTTTCATTTATTTTTTCTTAAGTAAAACTTGGGAACACTATGGACTAGGTTTATTTAGTTTATTTATTTGTGACATTCATTTTGATTTACCAATATAGGCTAATGTTCATAAATGTTGTCATATGCCAAGGTGAATAATATTGTGAAAACAAACAAAATATCACAGGGAGTTTTAACATTTCCATTACTATTTTTGTTATTTATTTTAGTGGGTGACGTAGTTTTTATATAGGCCAAAATCAACTACCGGCTATAGTTTCGTTTTTCATATGATATTGTATAATTTTATTTATGTATTTCTTTGATAAAAGTTGTATTTTAATTTTTTTTTTATTGAAAAAGAATGGGTGGGGGAGGGTGAGATCTGGGAGTGTCACCTCACCATAAAATTATGTTGAAATGTCCCTTTAATTAAGTTACGACTTTCAGGGAATAAATAGCATACGGGTATTTCTGTATATTCAACATTGCGCGCGTCTTTTTTTTTTTTCCGGTGTTCATTTCTTTGGGTATCATCAAGGATGATTTTCTCTTTTTATTTCTGTTGAACCTTGTAAGTTAAATTTTAATAAAAAGCGAATGGTCGATTTCATTTTAATTTATATCATATTAACTGTATCACACAACTTATCACGTTTAAGATGAGTAAAATACTTAGTGATGGACAGGAAAGTTATCATAACGCTACACATCATTGAATCATTACTATACACTATACACAAGTGTCAGGTCCCACGCCCACTGTTCGTGCTGTCACTAAGTGACTCACTTTATTAAGTACCGGTATTAAATAAAGCTAAAACTGCCTTAAAAGTAAAATTAAAAGTTAAGTGTTGGGATTCCCGAAAGTGGCGTTACTAAAGCAGACTTTTAAGGACTTGTATTTAAACTTAAAGTTAGAGTAATATTTAAACTTAAATCTATACTATACATTTAAAATAAAATGCCTATAAAATCTTTATTAAAAGAGAGCAAATAATATAAACAATATTACACAATTATTATAATTACATAATTTAAATAAAGCCCCAACAATTGAGTATTAATTTAATTTAAGCATCAATGATAATAATGATTGATACTACTAAATTAACCATATTCAACTCTAATTCTAATTATGTTTGGGTTGGATTATGTTTTCATAAAGTATGAAGTCAAAGTAGGACATTCAATTCATTCATTCATTTTCAGCATTAGAGAAACTAGAAACTGTGTTGAGTTAGTAGTAAGATAGAAATTTTAATTTTTTATAATAATTTTTTTTAAAAATAAAGAAATGCATTTTAATTATAATTATTATACTCTACAGACTATAGAAAATCTATATTTTATTATAATAATTTCATGCATTCCGTTTTAAAAAATAAAGGCTTCTATTTCTATCAATGTGACAAATAAAAATAAAAGGATTTATTTAATTGAATACTGTACCATATATTATTTAATTAAAATTCAATGAACATGTATGAATGATGTATGTTATTTTTTGTTTTTCAATTTTGCCTTTATTTTTATAAAAAATAATTTTCCAATTTTTCTTTTCATCATTTATTTAAACTTACCTTCAAATAAATTTATTCAACATACAAATATTTGATGTTTTGCAGTTATGTACAATTTTTTTTTTCATTGTCTTGTAAATATTATAGTTCATTGAGAATATCTCCTTAAAATTGTGTGGACCATTTTCTTTTAAAATAAAATAAAAATTGTGGGCAAAATAAGGCAGAAAGTAACAACTTTTTGCAGTTACTTACATTACATTATTATTACATACAAAGATAAATAAAGGACTTTTTTTTTAAAAATTGTTGCTTCTTTTTAAATCATAGCCCCACTTCTCTATGATTTTTTATAATTATAAAGCTTATACTTATTGCATCTTTTATCACAATGGGACAATATTTACAATTTTTGTCAAAGTACCTACGTGGCCGAACATTTTGATCTGGTGTTAACATGTCACAGACTGCTTGTAGGTTAAGCATCAAATTTTTAAAAAATAATTTTCCATGAATTGTAGGTACCAGTAGGCTAAACATAAATTATTTAATTTTATTTTATATATATATAACTTGTGTTTTAACGAAGTTTTAATTAGCGTATTCCTTACCCACATTTTATAAAAATTTTATTTGAAATGTGAATAATTTATTGTTACAGACATTTTGAATGGGATCAATTTATGACATATGGAGCATGGTGACTTAGGAAAGTTAGGACTGGAAGCTCAAGAGATTGAAATGCAGGAGACACATTTTTGGTAAGTGTAAAAATTATGAAACTTAACTGAATTGACTAATATAGTATATTATTTTCTATCATAATAATGGGGATTAAAATAATTTGTAAATCTGTCCAAATATAATATCAAAATGAGTATTTGCCTTTTTTTTTTCTTTTTCTAACAGCTTGATTATTTTAAGTGGCATGCCGCATATCTTGACTTAATGCAGTCCCAGGCGGCATCCCTAACTTGGGTCTCTCCAGAACTCTCCTCCTCCTTAAATTATCCGTACATTCAGGCATAAAATTCCTGTTAATAAGTATTATTATTTTTCATTTAAATATCAAGCAACAATAATTCATTCCTTTGCCTATATGAACAAACTTCGCATCGTCTTTTGGGAAAATCTGACGTCGTTTATGTTTTAATGGTCATTAGAAGTTGGCTCTAAAATAATATGCAGAAGTAGAACAGGTTAGTTGAATTCAATATCACTGTTCAACAGTTTAAGCGGAGAACACAGATAAACAGGTGTATGTTTTTTTTAATATACATTTTGAATGGTGTAGCCAACTGTAGTGCCAAAGTGTTAGAATCTCTGAAAGTCTGTTGTATCAAGTGTTATTCTTGTGTCATGGTGTAAGAGTCCTACCCCCTAGACAACAACTCAAAGACACACAGCACAATTCTAAACCAGTAGTAAAAAAAAATAATTTTTTTTTAAAAACCTGTGCATTGCCATTAAATTTTCCATCTAACTTTTTTTATTTCACACAGTTTTACATTGAATTTTCAATATGGGAATAGCAGGCAACAGAGATAATTAATAATCATGATTATACAGATAGTATTGTACAGAAATATTTCCTTTATTACTGAAGTAATTTCAAATTAAATATATTTTTAATATAACAGAATTTGTCCCCGGCCCCAAAGTGAGCCCGGCCTGGTCATACCACTTCCAAATTCGCCACTGCCTAGTTTAGGCTAGAACTTTAAGAAATAAATGGTTGAAAAATCAAAATTAAAAAAAGTATAAACTTGTTGATTTTTTAATTTTTCACGTTATGCTCAATATAAAACACTTATTTAAAAAAGTTCACAAGAACCACTGCCTGGAAATGTAGTTCAGTTATTTATTTTTTCCCACAGGCTGATGATGGTGATTCCCTTAATAAGTATAATTTTTAGCCTTTCAAGCATTATTATTGTCATATCCATGGATAGAGAGAGACATGAATATCTTGTGAGTTCACTCAATGTTGCTAGCAGATATGTATCTGTAGATTTTAGTATGTTACCGTGTATGATTTACTTAGTTTGCAGATATTGTAGATAATACCGGTATATATATTAGGAACTTAATAAGCCATTTCAGTTTCATTATTTTAAAATATTTTTTGAGCAATCTAGTATTATTGTGTTTAAAATCTTAAAATAATTTCTATGTATACATTGATGAAAGAAAAAACATAATTTTTACTTTAAAAATTTATTTTTTTAAATTATACTCTACATCTCTTTACAGCCTACAAAGAGAGCTTTACTTCAAGAACAAGATACTATTCTCCCTTTTTTAAAAACGGTTTGAATTTTGTACTTTATTTTTGTTGTTGTCTTTAAAGACTTCAATGTTGCAGACTTATACAAAACATTAGGATATGATGCACATACACTTGGCTGGAACAGGCTTCAGTCAAAACTATTTGCCAGCACTAAGTCATGCTTGCACCATCACAAAACACTGATATCTGTGAGGCTAAATGATATTCTTCCTCTGTTCTCTTTTATTGACACTTATCATTTACACTCATGGATAATGTAACACTCACTCAGCTGTTTCATTCAAACCCTCAATCAAACACCTTACCGGCCCCTTCTCAACAATCACCTTCACATCCCAACACTACATTACATTCAAATCAAGCCCAATGATTACAATTCAGGTACCTTGAAAAAGTTGTTGTTAAGTTTAGTTTTATCATAGAGATGTATTTTTATGGAGAAGGAAATAGATACAATTGTAAATTTATTACTCTGAACATTATATCTGACTTAAAATTGTTATTTTCTTTTAAAATTTAATTTTAATTAGTTTGCATTTAAATGTAAATATTTTTGTTTGCAGTTCATCAAGGGTGAAATGAAGTTATCAGGTAATTGTTACAAATTGTTGCCCTTTTCCCTTGGTAATCAATCATTATCACAGCCAGTAAGCTGACTTTCTCTGTTACATCTGTTTAAAAAAAAAATGGTTCCCCGAGACATGATTATTTTCATTTAATCAATATACAAGCCATTTTAACTCTACAGAATTTTTTATTTTAGGTGGGGTTTATTTGTTCACGCGGTATTCAGGAAATTTATCATCACTTCAGTTGTACTAACATTTTTATTCCTCTTTACTTTGTGTGCAAAATTAGAAATCTTGTTGCATAATGCAGCTACAACTACAAGTGCTCATGTTGGACTAACAATACCAGACAGAATCCCAGGCACAGAGCTAGAAACAGGTATATAACTTATACAAGTTAATTTAGTGTCTTGGAGTAAACGTTTTAAATTTGGACGTACTGTTGTAAAGCTTCTAAAAATTTATAAACAATGCAAGGTTTACAGAACCATTTCATTCACATTTAAAATATTACTTTTGACGCAAATATTGGGATAATAGTTTAATAATAAACTTTTTTTTTTACATTAGAGAAATAATGTGAATAAATATTCTGCATTAAAATAAATGAGCTTATTACAGGAAATTTTATTGTTATGCAAATATTTATATTGCCATTAACCTTTACTCATCTGGCCGCACCAATTTTGCTGTATGTTGTTTTTGTGAAAAACTATTTCTACCTTCATTTACATATGTAATGACAATGCAGATATTAAAAAATAAGTTATTAACAGAGTTGATATTGTGCATGTTTATTGACATATCCAGTTATAAAAAATACGGAAAACCTGGAAATTGCGCAAACCCTTGGGACCAAATCAGAAGTGGTGCTATTTTCAGATTCAGGCGGTCCCTTTGCTGGGTTGAGCTAGTGCATGTGCTAAGGAGAGTGCTAGTTCAGTGCTCTTATTTCCAGATTTTATTGTATAAATTTATATGATAACAATTATTCCACACAACACAGGAGAAACTTAGCACCAAGATAATGTTTCAACAAATTACCTCCCAGATCCCAACTTTGCTAACCACCATCCTTTACCCACCAAGTTGAATGTCAGTGATGCATCCAGCATCACCCACAGTCGAGGAGTTGAACTCAAGGAAAATGGATTACATATATTACATTCAGGTATGTAAATAAAGGGAGCACTTGTGCAATATTTTGTTCCTGGCATAGTATTTATAAGATGGTAAAAATACAAAAAAGTGAAAGAACATTTTTCAATGTTTGTCTGGCTCCAGTTGAGATTTATATTTTGTTTAGAATTTATCAACACTGTCTTTATATTAGCCAACAAAATGTGATTATCACTCAATTTAGCAGGGGTGGGCAAACTGCAGCCCGGCAACTAATACAATGCGGCCCTTGAAGGCATTTAGAAATAATAAAAATTACTTTGGTTTTTTTTTAAAGTTATTTTGTTGAATTTTACAGAATTTCATGTACTGTTATGATTGTTTTAACATTTTTTGATCAACTTTCTAACTTTCTAATTTTTTAAACAGTCCTTAACTTTTGGCATGTAATGCTAAAATGCAAATTTAACGATTTTAATATAGAGAAATGTTTTGTAATAATTGGAAAAAATATACATGCAGCCCCCCAAATGCTTTACAGTTGTCAATGTGGCCCTCCGCACAAGAAGTTTGCCCACCCCTGCAATACAGTGTTGTTTTTTATCTGTGGCCTTTGCTTACCTTCATTCTTAAATCCCCATAAGGCAAATTTGGTTGTTACTAAAAAAAAAAAATTAAACATTTAATGATTAAAGCTTAAAACTAATTAATTTGAATAAATTATTTTTAAGAGGGGGTTTGGAGGAAGACAGTCAAAGTAGTGTAGGGGTTGATTCCCCTACTCAACAGCTACAGAAAAAACAACTTACTAGCTCCTATAAGGCGGACGTGTAACACTGACACAAGGCAATTTAAAGGCTACGTCAGGTTTTCTTAATTCCCTGGCTTAGCTGGAAAAACAGTAGTAATAAGCGTAAACAATCAATAATCAGGAAATATACACTGGGTTTACTGGAGATATAAGAAGGCCAATTTTCAAAATCCTTCATGCTAAAATACTCTACCTTTTCAAAATGGCATTCACAAAAACGTTTCAAATCATTCTTTCTTTAATTGCATTTCAAAAGCTCATCTCAGCACACTCTTTGAGGCTCACGAAAATTTACACAATATTTTATCCAGTCTCTTCTTAAATTTATCTTTCTATACCAGATTTTTCTTACATTGTTTAAATACAAAATATCTTTCCAAATGTGGCTGATGTAGAAAACATTTTATGCATTTCGAAATTCATTTGTCCATTTTGAAATTTCAAAATTAAATTTGTTTTGTCTGTATTTAGCTAAAAATAATTTTTTCTAAACATACATTTTTAATTTGCTTTTTTTTTTTTTCACTCAGGTCTATATTATATTTACAGCAGTGTAAATTTTCATCCCAACTCAAGAGCTTTCTCTGCAGAGTTTGCTCATAAGGTAAGTGCTACCACTCCCACTGTGGAATGTATCAGACAGGGAATAAAGGAACATTTTTCAAGATTAAATTCTTTTTCTTTAAGTTTTCTGGTTTTAAAAATTCCTATTAAATCTTTTTTTTTTCTTTTCTTTTGTTTCAGACCTGGTTCCATTATATTGATATGCATTCTTATGCTCCCAATACTAATAACGAAGAGAGGACACTAGCTAGAAATGTTCATACAACCTGCCACAATTGTACAGACTTTAGGAAAACCAGTTTTATTGGTGGGTGTCCATCTAATGTTTATAAACATTTGTGTCAGAGATGATTTCATTTTGTTCCTCATTTTCAAGTGACGTCAATCACCTTCAAGTCATTGGGTGTGCAAAAAATATCTTGCATCAGATTTTTCCAGCCTCACTTCTCTTTTTAATCATGCTACAAACTACATGGTTTAATCCATTCAAATTATTGAATACAGTCACTACAAACTACATGGTTTAATCCATTCAAATTATTGAATACAGTCACTTCAAACTACATGGTTTAACCCATTCAAATTATTGAATACTGTCACTACAGATTCCAATCCCATAGTAGGGAAATCAGAATTTCTCAATTTTAATAGGCATATATATATAGTTCATATGTTCTGTTTTATATTTTGAAAATAAGAAAGATATAGACCCTCTTTAAGATTTTCTTTTATTAATTGAATCATGTTTGTCATATGGACAAAAAAATTATTTAAAAAATAATTCAGTTAGAAGAGAAGAGTTGCTTGAGGGTTATCTGAGATTTTTTTAGTCCGTTAATAAGATGTTGACATAAGTTCATCATATGTTTATATTTCCCAGGTGGAATTCACCACCTGTCTGCAGGGGATGTGGTCAGCGTCTCACTCTCAGGGCAGGGATTTGTTGACTTTGACAAGGAGACAACTTATCTTGGACTTTTCAAGTTGTCCTCAGACCAAACACATTTGAGTGGAAATGAGGTGTGAAGAAATACATTTTAAAAAATGTCACCAGAACGACCAACAGATTTCATAATTAATAGTCTGTGAGTGTAAGGAAGAAATATTAAATTACATCTGCTAAACTCAGACTGCTAGTTGATCAGCTTAGATAGAGTTAAACCATTGTTGTAGTTTATACCATCTCACGAGATACAAATATGCATGTTTGTTTAACACTTGAAGCCTCTGGAAGGAAAGGGATTTTTTTTTTTTTTTCAAGACTATTAAGTATAAGTCTAAATTCAGTTGAGTAGTAAAAGTATTTATAAGCTAATGTAATAATTCATTTGCATCGAATAAAGAGTCTTACCCTATTTCAGTTTTACGAGCATTTGTAAATGAAGTGTTATCTTTTCAGACAGATGTTTGAGGCAATGGCTTAAGAAACCACATCTATCAGATGCTTTCTTACACAAGTGTGTCGGGTTTCTGTCCTGCAGATCTTTCCATGATACTGCCATACCGAGTCCTGGTCTCATTCTAGTACAGTTTCCTGTGAAACACTGGGCATTAATCAAAATGACATCACCGAGTGCAGTTTGCAGAGACATTTTAAAACCTGTCTAAATGATGGAGGTCATCGGAAAGTTTTGAGAATTACCCCTCCGGTTGTGTCAGATATTTATCTAGTGCTTTAGTGTTTTACCAATTTATTGTTTATGGCTATTTCTGTCTAGCCTATTTTCCAGTGATAAATTTTGATGAATACCCAACTGTATCTAGCCGTTGGTAAATTTTGAACTATTAATATTGCTAAACAGCAAATTTTAATGAGGGAGGTGGGGGGGCATTGTTGTTTGATGCCAGTGAGCAAGTAAGAAAAACGTTGTTGTCCTATGCCTGTCTTCCGAATAGCAAGCTCAAGGAAGTCTATCAGTATTTAATTTTGATAAATTTAGGTTTTGGATTAATATTTAATTTATTATAATACTTTGTCTCAATAATATTTTATTAAATCAGTTGTTAACTTTGTCACGAAGTCAACTGCCATAATATATTGCTTTATATTTATCACTGTTAATTGACGTGCAAGGTTGATCCTTGTAATTTTTTGAGGAATGTCTTACTTCTTCTCAGGATAAGCTGACTATAACCTAAAAAAAATGTACAAGTTTGATGTTATTTTATTTTTCTTATAATTTATTAACATAATTGTTTGCTCTCAGTCTCATTTTTTTTCTTCTGAGACACCAAGTTGGTACATTACACTTGACTTCAGTGAGCTATCTTTGCAGTCAGTTATCTTTGCCTTGGTTAGCATCTATAATTTATGGTAAGTCTCCTGCATCCATCCAGTTGCCTTAAATGATGGTATGTCAGTGATTAAATTATTTATTTCAGTGATTAAATGATGGTATTTCAGTCATGTTAGTCCTAATCCTATTAATATTTTTTTTTAAAAGTTAACTAACTTACCTGATAATTTTATATGCTAATAAGATAGGTATTTTTAGGCCAGTGTTTTGGTCTCCCCCCAAGCTGCATTGGCTGATCACCTTTCTTTATCCCAAAGGTGTGGAAGTTTTTTTTTACCCTTACCTCCTCCCAAAATTAACAAACTCATTCCATTGGCCTATTTTCCCAATAGCTGGGACAGTGCCAAGCTGACTGTTGATTAAGAATTTTGAAAAGGCTATGTTGTTGATTAAGATCTTTGAAAAGACCATGTTGTTGGTTAACAGGTTTGAAAAACTATATTTTGGTTAAGAGGTTTGAAAAGACTATGTTGTTAGTGTTATACTTCAGTGACCATTCCTATTTTTTCCTGCCGGTCCACTCAACTCTAGCGGTCAGCTATACATTAAAACATGCCATGCCTGCTCTATACTAAATGAATGAGTTTGATGAAGCAGCACAATGGATGAAAGAAAATCCACTTTACAGATGTTACAGTTAGTGTGCATTTGATACATTCCTTCCAACTTATTTATATACAAACCTGGACCTTTTCAGCCCAAACAATCTCATTGTGTTTGTGTGGCCGAAAACCACAACAATACATTTATTGGTATTGGTACCGTTCTGTGTTCATTTCATTACTGGTGACTGTAATTAATTTTTTCTGTTTATGTCCCCATTTATTGTATTTTTTTTGTGTACTCTCGTTTGTCCATACAAGTTATACCAATTGTCACTTAATAAATAAATTTTATTTTTTAAAGTTGTGTGAATATTAAAATTTGTACATATTTATTCATATCTTTTTGAAATTTTAAAGAGGGCTGATTTTATTTTATTTATTTATACATACATACAATGTTACTTCTAAGGTTTGTTGGTTCGTGTGTTAAATCCTACAGTTGTCTGCAAAGTTTTACAGCATCAATTTTTTGTGTGTGCAAAAATTGTACAGCCCACAAACAAACACACACTTACATGGAAATTTGCTGTGCGGATACTCAAAACTGCTGCGCGGCGTCTGTGAGATAGCTGCGCAGTTTAAAGGGAACATTGCATACATGTCTAGGTCATCACATACGTATACAGTTCATCAGTCAAAATCAACAATAACCATATTGATCATCGTATTTGTTCTAGTTCTGAAACTACTTGGCTGTGGGTGCACAGAAGGCTGAGGAGCTCGAATTCTGGCCAAACAAAATTCTTGTGTACTAAGTGCAGGGAATTGAGGGAACATCTCTAGGTGCTGAGGTAATCAGTGAATGAGAAACCTTTTTGGTCAGTTTTATTTTTTCATACTTTGTTTGGCTCATTTCCTTTTAACTTTTACCTGACCCGATTGCAGTCTCTGCCCCCTTCCTTGTTACCATTTTCTGGCATGTCTTTGTGCTCTGCAGCCAGGTTTATATCCAACGCTTTCATTGAGGCTGTCTTTGAATTCATCAACATAATTGTTTGCTCTCAATCTGATTTGTATAAAAACTGATATTTCCAGCAGTCAAGAGTAAGACGTAACAAAGCTTTAAAGATGAATAATTTAATAAAGTTTATTTTTTTTTATGTGATGTTATACCCCCACCTTAGTTTGCCTATTAATCTATTTATTTTTTTTTATATAAACTTGAAATGTATATTTTTGTGATGCCGTTATTAATGCAGTAAGAAATTAATAATGTTGACACTAATAAAACGTGATCAAATCAGTCTTAATTCTTGTTGTTTCCTTTAATGGGGTGGGTGGGTGTTATTTTTTTTAATTGTATAGGCCTATGTGACGTATGTGCGGTGTCATACTTCTCACAGAAAGTCATGAGATCACGGTAATATCCAGATTTTCTAAAAGTTAATTTTCACCCTTAAACTTAAACAACGAGATAGTGCAGTCAGACTCATCTCATTTTCTTAAGTACTGTAATTAATTATTTTTTTGAAAACGGAGATAATTCAAATGCCTGTCAGTCCGAGTCGAAACTCAAATGCAAGTGTTTTGTTTTTTTATTATGAGTGCACACTATAGTTTATGCGCGCCTGCCACCCCCCCCCACCCCCCTAAAAAAAACAACCTCTTTTTCAACAACAAAATAACTCATAAATTTGAAATAAGCAAATCGAAAAAAAAAATTTAGTGAAAAGAATCTGTCATTCGCTTCCTCTATCCATCCCATTGACAACTGTTTATAATGTTGTCTTGGTAGGGCGATTCTTCAGGTTCCTAGAGAACATTGTTGGTCCGCCAAAACTGTTTCCTTTCTTTGACCTTTCCCAGCAGTAGAAGATTGAAGCAGGTCCACATTCTTACCCATTGCAATATTGATGTCATTGATCATCTAGTAAGCCGTCAGTTGCTGCAGCGGGGGGGGGGGGGGGGGTCATAAACAGATCCTACGGAAATTGCCCCCCCCCCCCTTTTTTTTTCCATGTCACAGTCTCTTAGGTTCTTGCACGTAAGCTACCCGTTACCCTACGACTAAGCTACTGTTATCCTACTTCTAAGCTGTAGCTACCTGTACCCTACGTCTACTCTGCAGTTACCCGTTATCCTACGTCTAAGGTGCAGCTACCCGTTACCCAACGTCTACCCTAAAGCTACCCGCTACCCTACGCCTAAGCTGCAGTTACCCGTTATCCTACGTATACTCTGCAGTTACCCGTTACCCTACGTCTAAGCTGAAGCTACATGTTATCCTACGTCTAAGGTGCATCTACCCGTTACTCTACGTCTAAGGTGCAGCTCGCCGTTACCCTACGTTTAAGGTGCAGCTCCCCGTTACC